CATGAAAGAAGTTAAGGACATACTAATGTGGTATTTTGAAGTATTTCTTTAGAATTTGTGGGGATTTTCTTTTTTTGTTATATATACCTCTTAAGTTTTAAAATACGGATCATTGAAAGTTGATTTCTTTTGCAATGTTAATTTTTACTAATTAACTGAAAATATTACATATATAGTAGGTTCTTGTTTTATTGTTCCAATGTAATATTGACGCTGAAGAGAAAATGTAGGAAATTTGGCCTAACGAATTTCATCCTTAGGATGTAGCCTATATTCTCACATTACTATTCTTAATCAAAATTGAGATTTTTTTGTATTTTTAGTGGATTTCTAAGTTTTATCCTTTAAAATCGTGTTTATGATCTTTGTATTTTCCGACTGCATCATTATATGGTATGTGCCAAATTTTCGGAATCCTAAAGACTTTATTTCAATAAACTATTGGCAATTCGCAATTCGGCAGCGAGAAGGAGAGAAGGGTCCTTCTCTCACTTTTGCTTTACTGTTAATATTGCAAGTGCCTGTGCTATTTTAATTTTGAGAGAGACCTTTCATTTAAGATCCAGCTTGACAATTTGCTTCACAATCTAAATCTTTCTTTTTTCTTCATTTATTATTACACCTCCAACTTTAATTCCTATGGCAATTTCAATATTCTCTAACAAACATTTTAAAAAGAAATGCATATGGTTGACAAAAAAAATGCATATGAAAGGTTAATTTGCCCAATAGACCAAAAAAAAATTATAATTAAGTTTATAGCCAAAACTACTTTATGTGACACAATTACAACCTTTAGATTTAGGGGTTTTCGCTATATACTTAATTATTAATTTTTTGTTGGTTATTAGGCAAATTAGCCCTATAACATAATACTAAAATGATGGAAATATGAATAAGTGATATAGAGAAAAAATGGCATCAGAATACAAATATGAAATTGGTCCCAAGATTCAAGCTGTGTAACAATGGACCAGCTTCCAGCTTTTAGTGGAATCTCATCTTTTAGCTAGCTAAAGCTTACATTTAAGACTTTATCTACATATATGGTCCTTCAAAAAAAATTATAATGAAAAGCTTTTAAGGATAAACTCGAAACGGATATCCAAAAATACTAGATTATGAATTTTTGTTTTTTGAAACTAGATTATGAATTTATGATCCATAKATTTATCAAAATATACTGATTATTTGAATATGAATTCGTAAATTAGTCTATGTTTTAGTTTGAGAGTTTTAAAAAAATAATTATTGGAACAAATTAGCGAGACATATCACATGCATAAACTAGTTAGTTGAATAATTAAGAAATTAAGTGGTCTAGCAAAAGGTAATTATTTTAAATTAAGCTAAAGTTTTTTGTAGGACGACAACCGAACATCCGAAGTCTCTTCAAACGTCAACTCT